ATCTGTCTCTCGGCTGGCGGCAGGGGCCTGGAACATCAGGCACAGCACGAGCGTCAGCAGGCCTCACTGCGTGCCGAACTCGATGATCGTCTGATGTGACAGGCACAGCACGAGCGTCAGCGCCGTGCGCGGGGCCGGGGAGCAACGGTGCGAGGGTCACTAACGGCGCACCGCCGGGCAGTCCCCACTCGCACCGCGCCCCCCGCCCTGTGTCAGGCGCGGCACGAGCTGCCTCTGGGGGTATCACTGGGCCTCGAACTCGTCGATCGCCTGCTGAATCCTGCGCTCGAGGTCCCCTGGTGGCGCCACTCCTTCGAGCTTCACTGCTTTGTCGCGTAGCCACAACGGAACCAGGATTTGCTGCAATACCTTCTCGCTGTCGCTGTTGGGCTTGACGTTGACCTCCAGGCGCTTGGTCTTGCTGTCGTAGGTCTTGCAGCATCGTGCATATTGAACTTCTTTCAGAAGATTGTGAAGGTATTTGGACGTCTCGGGGCTGCCTTGTTTCATCTTGTCGATGTACTGCTGAAGACTGGTGGCCTTCGGCGGGTCGAGGTCTTTCACTCCAAGAGACGTCTTCGCCACGATGATCCATGCATTCCAGACGTGTACGTGAGGATGAGCGAGGGCTGCGATCTTCTGTTGCTTCTGGTCCTTCCCGTACTGCTTCGCGGCCTCCGCATAGCTCTCGGTAGAATTCTTCCCCTGGACGAAATACTCGGAGCTCTCGCTCACCTGATAGTTTTCCAATACGATGGCCCTGAGAATCCTCGACGACATAGCAGTACTGAGGGTCAACTTTGCTATGAGAAGAACGAGGGCCTGCAGGTCGTGTTGATTGGCTCCTTTGCGTCGCTCCTTCTGTGGCGGTCTGGCGCCGCCTGCTGCTAGGCCGAGATCCATCAGCACTCTCTGAGGGACCAGTATGATGAAGAATGCTGAGAGTATCGGATGCTGAGAACTCCAATCTTCGTGGACCAGAGAGATGCTTGGTACGGATATGATGATTGTACACGTATATGTCGTCGCACTCGTAATTATTGCCGTAGAGCTTGCATATAGCGCATGAATATGTTGTGTCTGATACAATAGGAGGCGAGGGGATAAAGCTCTGGTCGACAATACATCTACCATAATGCCAACTACGCCTTGCGTGATCTTGTGCAATTTTGCGAGTAGAGAAGTGGGTAGAACACCATGGACATACTGCCTCTAGCACGATGGAGTCTAACGTAATCATGCCGTGCATGGACTGTTCGCGTGCCCGGTGTAATCTGAGTGCTTTCATGGTGGGGAACGTAAGTGTGCATATGTTACCATCAGTGCGCATGAGACCACAATAATATTCACCTGTAGGTAAAGAACATGATGATGTAGTAGGATTTAGCGTGTCGTACTCATGGTGATGAGGAGGTATGTTGACTGAGAGGAACTTAGCACGCAATGCTGAGATATCGATCTCGAGAAAGTCTTCCTGCATTGTGCCAGCGTCTAGCAACTGCCACGGGGATACATCTTCAAGAAAATAAGCACACTCCAGCAACGAGAATGCCTGCAAGTCTTCATTCAGCTGCTGCAACCAAGGGTGAGAAATCGCATCTTCTGGGGGATCGTGAGGAAAGCGACCGAACATAGCGGTAACGTACAATTGATGATGAAGAGGATGACTGCATATCTTCTGAAACCATTTCAATCTCTGTATACGTAACTCTGTAAGTGTGTCTGCCATGCCGATGTTGCGCCACACTTCGATCGATGGAATGGGTCGATACTTAATCGTGCCGTCGTCGAGAAGGGTCTTTTGGGTAGCCTTGCCTTTCATGAGTTTACGTGCCTTGTACAGTATATATTTGTCGAATATGTTGTAGTCGTGCTGGGTGAGGACGAAAGCTGTGAGCCCTGAGACAAGTGCTGACCATACTGTGCATCGAAATACGAGAACGCGAAAGCGAAGATCAGTGCGAGTGAACCAAAACCTTTTGAATATAAACCATGCTTTGTTGGCAGCTTGTATCCTTAAGTTTCGCTCGACATAGAAGCAATTGCGGTAGTGTAGATATGGCCCGAGATATCGTGCTGCGCTGAGTACTTTGTATTGTGACTGTTGTGCATGTACTTGTCGTTGATATGTATGCGCAAGCGTGCCGACGAAGTGTACGGTGGACTCGCTCTTGCCCGTGTGCTGCGCGATCGTGTACTCGTCGAATATGGTGTTCAGGACAGTGTCGTGCCGTGCTTGAGTATCGTAGAAGCTCGTAGGTGTAGTAACCGTGTACTGCTTACATAGATCGTCGACGAAGGAGGTGATGGACATGTCGATGACGGCCGCATTGAGAGGAGATACAGCCAGTAGATGATGATCTTTCGTTTTTTCCTCCCATGCGTGAACAGCTTGCCAGTGCGGTACGTGAAACTCGTTGGTCGCGACACTGTTGCCTTGGAACGTGCCGCTGCGAGGATAAAATTCTGCGGGAATATCCGATGTCTGTAGAACACACGTGGCATGTCGGTGATGCTGTCGTAGTAGCCGTTCGTCCTGTTCAGCGACGTGAACTGGCGTAGCCTCCTCTTCTTCGGGAAAGTCATCGTCGGGTTGAGGCAGCATCAGAAAGTGAGTAGCTTTGTCCATAATGTCATGAGACGGCGAAGCGAACGCGTTGACCACATCGTAGTGGTGATTGGCGATACTGATACCATGTTTGGAGCACCGATGAGAAACCAACATCTTGACAAGAATAGCTTCTTCTCGACGGCGGCCAGGAACAGCAAACGCGTGATGAGGTGGAGGCCGCGAAGGTTTGCCAGGCCGACGTAAAAGACCTTTGTGATAAGCCTTGGAAAACGATGATATGCTGTGAACGATTCGAACGTCATCTTTTTTGGGAATTTGAAAACCTTGGCTGCGATGAAACTGAAATGGACTGTGACCAGTAGCCCGTGTCATGTCGAGGATGTGCTGAAGGCGTTTGACGAAAAGCTTCGGCTCGTAAAGTGTGGGATCATGACCAACTCCATGTGTCTCCTGCTTGTAGACTGCCTGGGGCCACAATATCATTTTCCAGACTTCGTTGGGGACATCCCAGGAAGGAGGCGTTCTACGATTTGAGCTTTTTCGTATCCACCAGCTGACTTGTTTGAGGTCATATTCACCAAGTAAGTGGCATTGATAACTAACGTGAACTTCGTCATCATGATCGTTGAAGAATTCCTGACGTACTTGTGAGGTAGGTAAACGTATGCAATTCCAGCCGCCTTGAGAACCAGGTTGAGAAAGTTTGGCAAACCATTCGGCTTCTGAGCGCCGTCGAAGTGCAGCTTTGTGATAATTACGAAGTCTTCGTCCAATGCGTCTGCCTGTAAGAAGTCGTGCCAATTGCCATGCTCCAGCCAGTCGTCGTTGTCGCCAGGCGTCTTGAAGCTCGAGACGTCGTTGTTCGTTAAGTTCTTTGAGACGTGCAGCGTGAAGGCGACGAATATTACGATTGACACGAAACAGTGATGCCAGATTATGCCAGTGCTGAAACGAGTAGTAAAGAATGCCATGTTGTGAAACGACAGGCGCTTGTAGGCACTGAGCTCGTAGCTCCCGTCGTTGTCGAAGTAGCTCTTGACGTTCATGAGAATGCGGTCCAGCTTGTTGAGCCTGCTTGCCGTAATGTGATGCAGCAAGAGGGAGAAGACCTTTTTCAACAAGCATTTCCCATTGTTCAGATGAGCTCTTGTTGGCGATAGCATCAAGTACGAAACGGTTGTCCTCGGTCCACTTGTCAAGAGCGATGAGAAACTGTTGTCTTTTTGAACCCTGCATAACAGATTGTACAAGTCGGTCGAAATCCCAGCGAACGTGACACTCTGCTTCTTGCCCTTCGTATCGTAGATTGTGCTCAATGAGCGCATAGACTGGGTGATGATCGACTCGACGCGTGTCAGGAACCAGCTGCAAACGATCCCCAAGAGAACGTAAAGTCTGACATTTACGTACGTGCTGTGCCAAATAGAAACTGCGAGGCACAATGATGAAATCAATGTAACTTGAGGAGCCAGACACTCCATGATAATATGTGGGGAAGGTGGGGTAGAACGTGTTGAGTAAAATCAAGTCATGCTTGAGAAGAAACTCTATGAACTGATGGGTGCGAGGTTGCTGAAGACTCCTGTTAAAAGGCCCAGTGCAGGAATCGTCGGTAGGTGTGGGGCCCGCTGGGGTCCTGATGAGCCCGATATGCTCGTTAGAGTCGATGCCCAGCACAGGTAGTGTACGGGATGGTAGGGAAGAATAAAGTTCTTCAAGCCACGCCAGCGTTTTTTGATAATCTCGTCGGGATCTGGCCGTGTCCGTGTTGGGGGGGAGGTAGGCGGAGACGAAGGTGATGTCCGACTGGTGACTTTTGCATCTGACAGCGCCCCCCCGACCCCAGAGATACTGCTGCTTAGGGTAGGACACGGAGATGATGTTAGACCTCGAAAACCTCTGGGAAGCTAACGCGATAGTGACGCCAGTATGTGCATTGCCTTGTTTAGGATGATACCCAAAATGAAATTGATGGTACTCAGCAGAAGTATGTGTATCACATGGATCTTGTTCATGAACGCGACGACGTGTGCCCTGGATGAGTATGACGCTGGTGCGTAACGTGCGAGATATGTCCTGGAATCTGTCATGCTGCAGCATGCTGAGACAGTTGTAAGAGGAAAGGGAGAACGTGTGAGCGACCATGGTGCACGTGCGAGTAGAAAGCGAGTGCTCACCACCCGTATGCCATGTACGCGAGTATAGACGCAGATACGGTGACAGGTATGCCCAGCAAAAGGGGGGTGCTGAAATGGGCTCCGAAGGAGGAGGAGGAGGAGGAGGAGGAGGAGGAGGAGGAGGAGGAGGAGGAGGAGGACGAGGAGGAGGAGGAGGAGGAGGGGGGGGGGAGGAGAAGGGGGAGGAGGGGGAGGGGGAGCTTGAAGAGAAGAAACGGAGGGGGAAGAGGAGCCGAGCTCGCGATGCCAGCCTTGGGGATCTTCTTCTCCCAGGGCACGTGGTGCTTGGAGATATCAGTGCCGTCCCCGAGCATGTCCTTAATCTTCGTCGTGGTGGTGGTGGTGGTCGTGGTGGGCGTCGTCGTCGTCGGAGGGGGAGGTGAAGGAGGGGAGAAAAACTACGACGGCTACAAAGGTGGGAGAAAGAGGCCACCCACCACTTTCTCAGCCCCCGCGAGCATGCTGGCAAGCGCCAGCGGAAATACGAGATGGGCCAGCGGAGTGGGCGAAGCGATCGCATAGCAAAAACTGACCAGGCCTAACTGAACGCGACGTGCGAATTCGACTTGGAAGACATGGGATTCGGAGCAGGAAGAAGAGGAACAAAATCAGGAAGAGGCGCCCGAGGGGGGGGGATGGGAATGATGAGTGGTCCTGGAAGTGCGCCTTCAGCTGGAAAGGGTTCGGCAGGGGTACGCCCCAGTGTCCGTGACTCCTGGCGGGGTGGCTTCGGCAAAGACCCGTGCCCCTGACGCCGTGATTTCCAACTCGAGGGGGCTCCAGAGCTCTCGACCCTCTCGCGGGGACCTGTTGCTCGCCAGTGGCAACTTTTTGTAGGTCCTGGCGCTCGGAAGCAACCCCTGGACGCCGCAACGTGGAACAACGGCTGCTACAGTCGGGGCGTTGACCTAAGGAACCCTAAATAAGGAACGAGGCCCCTTTTTCCCATAAGTTGAACTTCGATTTCCGATCGAAAACATAAGGAAAACCAAAGGCAAACTGTGAAACACTTAAGGAACGCGGAGCCCCTCCCCAACGAAAACGGTTCCTTCTTGAAGGCCCAGACTGTACTGTGTTTCTTGTTCCAACGCTTGGGGGCCTTGGACACGAGCAGTGGCTGGGCTGGGCGACCAGTCTTGGGCTTTTGCTGTTTTTCTTGACCCACTCGTTCGCCCCGGGGCTGCCTCTCAGCTTCCACGCATCATCCCAAGACATGGCTTCTCTCAGGGCCCGATGAGCCTTGACTTTCTCAGGCTCCACATGTGCCGACCTTCATTCCGCAGGCCCAGGGCAGTGGATGAGGAGGTCGCATAAGCGACGAACCCAACAACACATTGAATACTTCCAACGGCATGCCATAGTCTCCTTCCGAAGGTGGTTCACTAAATCTCGCAAACATGTGAAATGCATAGTCCTCCCCGTCCTGCCCCGTCCTGAGCCCGCTGATTAGGCCCCCAGCCCCTCAAAGCCACCCCGTACATACAGGCTGCGTAGCAGCCAGCACGATCCCAACCTGCTCCGCGGCACGCCCCGAATTCGGTGAAGGCCGACCCATCGACGGAAACGGGGCCTCCCCACCTCCGTCCGGGCATCGCCCTAACAAACTGCACCCAAGGCTTCCCAGGGGGCGTCCGACCAGAAACACCGCTTAGGAGACGGGATACGACATCCGGCGAACAGCTCAGCCTCATCTTCTCTATGCGTGGCCACCTTCCACACAGCCTTCCTTCAAGAAGGGGAAAATCTCCGTGTGCCTGAACGAATCCGCGCAACGACAGTCGAACCCTCGAGGGCAGGGAAGAGGGAGCAGGGATAACGAGGGAAGGGAGGATATGGGGAGAATGATACAGGGGAGGGATGGGGAAGGATAAATACTGAAGGGGAAAAAGAAGAGGACGATGGGACGATGAGAAGGACGAGGGTGGGGAGGGAGAGGAAGACGAGGGAGGGATAACTAACGCGGAGGATAGGACTGATGGATCAAGCGGATGGGAGAAGGGAGGAAGGGAGGGAGGAGGAACTCCCCCTCTCCTCCTCTACCTCCCCTTTCCGCACTGGTCCATTGACCCATCGAAAAAAAAACAAAAAGGGAAACTGGGCCGCCTCCATCTATGCTCGTCACCTCAGGAACCAGGGGCGCCATCTGGAACGTGTGGCCGCAACAGGATGTGGACCCAATCTTCTGATCAATCAGGCCAAGCCTTGAGCTCGGGAAGAAGCTTGCCTGTCATCTACGCGCTCTCCATGTGTCTCCCATGCTCTGTGAAGCCAGGTACACAAGTACGTCCTAACTTCAGGATCTTACCTTCGGACGGAACACCTGAGCCTCCGCAGAGCTGGCACCAGAAAGACCCCACGGTGGCCCTTTCAACGATGAGAGGGGTGGATGGTCGCTGGGCGGCCTAGGCAGGCTGAGATGAGAAAGGCCTCTCCGTCCCCCCCATCAATATGACAACGAACAGAGCGGCGCCAAGGGATCCGGGGCCTCTGATCAACTGAGTGGGTGGTCGGGACAATTAACTCAGCCAACTGGGCTTCTCTCACCTGGCGCGAAAACGAACTTGAAAGCTTGGCTTGTTCACGTCGGTTGCCCTTGGCGACCGCTGCGTATAGAAAGGCAGCTTGCTTGACCAGGGAGCTGAAGGCCGCCAAGAGTGAACCTGATCGGACAAGAACGGGAAGCGCGGCTTGAGTCCAATGAGCTTATTGGGCGAAGAAGAAGAAGACAGGGAGGCGAGAGCGACGAGGAGGAGATGCCGAGGACGACGTGGAGAACGTGAGCATAGCGAGGAGGAGCATGAGGACATGAGGAGGCAGAAGGACGAGGACGAAGAGAACGAGGGCGAGTAGGAGGAGGAATGCGGAAGACGATGACGACGACGACGACGACGACGACGGAGAAGGACGTTGAATCAGGAGAGGGTCCTGGTGACCCTGTCGGGCTACCCTGGGTGCTCTCAGCGCCGCGCGGGATTGTCTTGGGGCCTGCTGGGGGCTTTATGGGGGCCTCTTGGGCCCTCTTGTGGGCTTCTGGGGTCTTTCTTTGGCTGTCTGCGCGCGTCGTGGGGTTCTTTGAAAGCTTTCTCGGGCCGTCTCGGCGCCATCTTGGGCCGTCTTTGGGCTTTCTTGGGCGTTCTTGGGGCGCTCTTGGGTGCTCTTGGGGCCCTCCGGGGTGTTGTTTTGGGCCGTTCGAAAGCCCTCCAGGAGCGATTCCAAGACGATGTCGCTTCGGAGTCCACTCTGGGGCCGATGTTTTGAGAATGTCTCGAACGAAACGGCAGTTGTTCAGAAACCTCACCGGACAAGAACGGAAGGGTCGCTTTTGTCCACTAGGTGTGTGAACTATGCTCTGTTGTGTTGGTCTGCCGCGCAGGTCTGTCGTGCCGTGCTTGCATTTGCGCGTGCGTGCGTGGAGTATGTGCATGTGCGTGCGTGCGAGGTGGTCTGCAGCACTGCTGGTCTACCGTGCTCCTGCGGTCTGCGTGAACGTATGTTGCCCGTGCGTGTGTGTGAGCCCCAGCCGTATTCCCACTTGCACCCAGCCCTGGAAGAGAGAATCATGCGGTCGGCAGACCCTAAAGGGCGGCTGGCCGATGCCATCACACACGGAGGTCTGACCCCCGCACCCCAGCGCCCACCCAGCGGGCAAGATGCCCGCCTCAGAAGTCTCATTGACAAACTACAATGGGTCCTCGCACAGATTCGCTCCCACACACTCCCTGCAATATACACCTGGAGCCGCATCCTGGCCCCGCTGATCTGGGACACCGCCCTGGCGGCCTCAAGAGGGCGGCTACAGCAAGCCCAGGTGAACAACCGCGTAGCCTTGAAAGGCTTCCAGGCGCTCACCCGATGGTGGGACTCGCGCGGAGTCCTCACCCCCGAAGATGCTACAGTCATCGGCCTGGCCTAAGGAACGATAAATAAGGAACGAAGCCCCTTTCTTCCAAGAAATAGCGCATAGGGAACGATGAACAAATAATGCATAACGCATTGGGAACGATAAATAACGCATGCAAGCCTAAGGAACGACCGAGCCCCTTGTGAAAAGTAAGCGTTCCTTATTCAAGCCGCTCACTGTACATCAACCCTCAGCAGAGCGGCTCAGCACGCGGCTCGGGCTGCAGAAGCACACGTACCAGCCCCCACCCAGTATGGATACCTACACGCCGCCCTGCAAGAATGGGTCATGGAAGTGGCGGGCCCGGAGGGACAGGCGGCCATTCTCATGGGCGGCCACCCCGACGACGCGCCCACCCCCCCCAGTGGGCGTGCGCAGGCCCACCCGTTCCCCCCAACCAGGGCTACGGGCTACCAGGCAGCCCTCCGAAATTACCGACGACCACGGCGACGTCTCCATGATGGACGCCAACAGTGTACAGGAACCCGATGCCTCTCCACCGCGCGACACTGCA